AGGTTTCTCTTCCCCCTCCACCCCTTTCTCTTGAGGAGGTGGCCTAGGAGGAGGCCCGGCTTTGGGGCCTTGGGCCCCCCCCTCGCTCTGGTTCCTGCTCCCTCCCCCCCTCTCCATATCGCGGCCTGACGGGGCCCAGAAGCCTTTCCTCCTTGTGGAGGAAGAGAGAAAAAGGGAGAAAGGCCTGCTGGAGCGGTGGGTGCCCGAGAGGGAGGAGGGATCTTCATAGCTTGAGGAGGTGGCCTAGGAGGAGGCCCGGCTTTGGGGCCTTGGGCCCCCCCCTCGCTCTGGTTCCTGCTCCCTCCCCCCCTCTCCATATCGCGGCCTGACGGGGCCCAGAAGCCTTTCCTCCTTGTGGAGGAAGAGAGAAAAAGGGAGAAAGGCCTGCTGGAGCGGTGGGTGCCCGAGAGGGAGGAGGGATCTTCATAGGACCGAGGAGGGAACCCTTGAGGTGGCTTTCCCGGGAGCCTCTGGGATCTCCTGGCAGGGCATAGTTGTGGAACTGGCATTGGGTCCATCTCTGACAGGTGAGGTAGCAGGAAAGCTCCTCTGGGCACCTGGGTGAGGTCAGCAGCGGGTGACTCTTATTTGCAGGGATCCTTCCAGTTTCCTGTTTTGCCCCTCGGATTTCTAAAGCCCAGATCATCTGCCTCCAGGGATGCTTAGGAACACGTTGGTCTGGATGTAGTTTTTGGGATGAGCCAGTCATCCCAAGCGGTTGGTTGGCTTGTCATCTGTAAGAGCTCGACTTCTGGGAACTTTCCCCACTGGTTTAAATGGTCTGGAAATTCCTTGACCTCACTGGTTGTGATGTTGCCGCAAAATGTTTTAGCCAGTTTCTGTATGAACGGAGCCTCCTTGGGTAAAATTCTTGTTTTTCGTTTCACCTCTGCCCCTTTTTCCTTCAGCCCAGGACTAGGAAGTGAGGGTAGCACCTGTTTCTTGAGGGCGGTGCAATAGACCTGGTGAACATTTGGACAGTACAGGAAACTGAAAAGAACTGTCACCCCTATTAATAAACAGGTTTGACCCTTCCAAAAAGTAGACAGCTGGTTTCTGCTGCTTGTGAATCTTTGCAGATCCTGTTGCTGTTAGGTGCATTTCAAATGCCATGGTTACAGTCAGCTTTGGGTAATCAAAGCAGACAGGAGCTGGCTTTTCTGAAATACACTCAGAACTTTATGGAAGAGATTTTTCCCCATGTATTGCCTGGTTATTTGTCAACAATTTTACCAAAATTCAACTAGTATGGCAACCCAGAATATGCCTTTATTTTTAGGGGAAATACAATATTGCTCTTTCGCACACCTGTATTGTGTAGGTTTATGGAAATTTGGTATTTCTGGAAAGTTTACATGTAGCTCCAACCAAGAATTTGAAAGCCTGTTTGGAGCTTGTTGGTGGAAGTTGAATGGTAAATGGAATAGGACTGTGGTTGATTGAAGAGACAGGCATTTGTTTCCTTGGGAAAAATTCTCATTCCTCTGTTTTTCTGTAAGGCATAAACATTTTTATTGATGTAGTTCTCTAGTGAAACAGCTAGCCTTAGAGTTGGACTTTCTCATATTTCTAGAATTTAGAGCTTTTTCAAATTATGCAAATGTCTATCCCACTAAACAATTGAGATTATCCCATGGCCAGATTCTTTCCTGCCCCCCTTTTCTTGAGGTTATCTGCCATGTTCTGGATAAGGTACATTGAAATTTGAACTTATTTGTCATTTTAGTGATATTGATGGCTCAGGAAATTTTTGCAGTGCGCTAAATTAGAGACTCAATGTAGAATTTA